AAGAGTGTAAAGGAATCAAGTGTTAATCATGAGAATCCTGTAGCCCTTCTAGATATAAGAGGTTATTCTTATACAAGGACTCCGTAACACTGTAAACTCCAGGGTTATGGTGAGTTACTGAGACTGGAATCTGACCCTTTATGCCTGAAAAATTCCATAGTTATTATCAGGATGGAAAGAATACAAACCATTGTTTTAAAATAATGCTGGCTGGGCTTGGAAAATTCACATTCAAATAGTAAGAAAAGGTAGTTTTAAGTTTACCAAGCAACATAATCTTTCTGTACAAGTGCATATCTTATTCTCAGTAAGGGAGGGTTCCTGAGGAAAATGACAAGTGTAATTAAAACCATCATGCATGCTCACAGGGGAGGGCAAGCTGTGATTGTAATGGTAACTGCTCCTAGCAGGTGTTTTTCTTTTAATATGAGGTATTAAATAAAAATTCCTGTGTTTATTAACCCAAATACTCCCCTGTATGCTTCTAACAGTGTCTCTGTGATGTGTTGCAAACAAGGCTGAACTTGAACCATATCTTCCAGCGTAAACTTTTGTCTTCATGAGTACAAAACTACCTTCCTTAGCTGAGACTGTTACAGGGACCTGGAACACTGTTGATGCTGCAAATTCTTTTGCACTTTGTAGCTCTGAGGGTTGTTAGTTTTCCATGCTGAAGATCTCAGGCTCATTACAGCGTGGTGGTGGGGATCCTCCACAACTGGTAGGGGAGAGAAGGAAACCCTGCCAGAAGTGCTGTCATCTGTTGCCTGCAACTGTGAGAGGATGAATGTGATCAACTACATTTTTAATAAAAAACAAGTCACTAAGAGGAGGAGGCAGAGCTGGAGCCAGGCACTGGCTTTGGATAGTCTGAGGCTGATGTGCCACTTCAGAAGGGCAAGGTGTTGGGTGTGAAGAGGGGGGAAGCTTGGCTGGCTCCACTCTTCCCCCTAGCTACTTGATAGTTCCCAGGCACCCCCAGTGCTGTAAGACTACATGGGCTTTTATCACTTTTATTTCAAGTTCATTTGTTATCTGCTGCCAAAATTCTCCCAAGGAAGAATGAGTCCAGCACAGGGCCACAAAGATGATGGAGGGAGTGGAGCATCTCCCTTATGAGGAGTGGCTGGGGGAGCTGGGTCTCTTTAGCTTGGAGCAGAGGAGACTGAGGGGTGACCTCAATCATGTTTATAAATTTGTAAAGGGCGAGTGTCAGGAGGAAGGAGCCAGGCTCTGCTCTGTGATGTCCAATGACAGGACAAGGGGCAAAGGGAGCAAGCTGGAGCATAGGAGGTTCAATCTGAACATGAGGAAAAACTTTTTTACTGTAAGGGTTACAGAGCACTGAACAGGTTCTCCAGAGAGGTTGTGGAGTCTCCTTCTCTGCAGACGTTCAAAACCCGCCTGGACGTGTTCCTGTGTGACCTGGTCTGGTGATCCTGCTCTGGCAGGGGTTGGACTGGGTGATCTCTTGAGGTCCCTTCCAACTCCTAAGATTCTGTGATTCTGTGAATGTAGACAAGAAGTGGTAAATGGCGATTAATTTAGACAACCTAAGCAGAGGGCTCATGATGGGCTCCCCATGTAATACAAGAAAGTTAACGGCTTGCTGATGTCCTTTTGTGAGTGAATTGTGTAGCCTGGTTGCTTAATGGAGTGTTTAAACATTGTGTTGGCAATAGCCTATGAATAATGTATACAGGAATAATTAAATACCTTACTGCTAAGAAACTGATGATATGGCTTGCTGATGTCCTTTTGTGAGTGAATTGTGTAGCCTGGTTGCTTAATGGAGTTTGCAATAGCCTATGAATAATGCATACAAGAATAATTAAATACCTTACTGCTAAGAAACTGCTGATATGCTGGGGAAATTTCCATCAGATGTGAGAACAATTCTGAAAGCACTATCTTCTTGGGATGCCCTTTATTTATGGTCTTGCTGCTTCAGAGATTGCATCCCCTTTTTAGATACTGCATGTGAAGATGCCTTCCACTGCCACTGCCTTTGTCTTCCAGCTCCCCGACTCCCTTTGCTTGTGTCTGTAAAAGCTCCTGACTTTTGATGAGTTTAGGCTTTATTAGCTGAGCACCATATGCATGGGGGTATCTGCTGTGCAGTCTTCAGCCATTCTAGGTATCTGCACCAAGGCACGGTGCATCAGAGGAAGATGTATGCTGGTTTTTAGTCATGGCAATGTCCCATGATGCAGGAAGCAGAAATAGACCCAAGTGATTTGGAAAAAAAGACCAATATTTCTTTTGCAGGTTTTTGGAGCATGGGCTCCTTGGGTGAGATAAGCAACCCCAGACTGTCACACATGGATGTTCACATTTTGATGGACTTTGCAGTGCAAGCCCAGCTCCCATGCCTCTAAATTTTCTCCTGTGTCCTCCTCCAGTCCATGAGGCTGTTGTGTGCTTTGGCCATGAGTAGTGGGAAGTTGTGATAATAAGCAACTAAATCTTGCTTGACCAAAAAAATGAGAAGATTGAGAGTGAAATCCTGCTTGTAGGAGAGCTTTGGAGGTTGCACTGCCTTAGCTGCAGGAGGAAACAGGCCTCCTAAAAGACTTCAGGACATAGCTCAAGCAGGCATGTGAGACATAGTCTCCTCCTTTGCTCCTTGTTTTGGCCCTCAGCTGCACACCAGAAGAAAATAAAATCATAACTTTGTTTCCCATGAGATGTTTTCCCCACCTGCACTAAGATGCAGAAGTATCGCAGGAGGGCAGGTGAACACAGTCCAGAGTTGTCTCAGCTAAGCATATGAGCAAACCCAGCTTGTGGAGTTTGTAGCTCTGTGCCCTGCTTCTGCTGTGGCTGTTATGAGTAGCTGAGTACTCATGCTGCATTTCTGCATCTGGATTTACACAGTGGAGCCCTGAGTCAAAATGTTTCCTGCAATATGGTTAGAATATTATTAGTGTAATGCTAGAACAAAGCAACATGTGATTGATGTTGACATTAGTCAGCTGAGGAAGTGACATCCTCACCTGGGAGGTTGATGTGATGGGTTTCGAAGTCGTGGCGATGCCAACAGCAAGCTCCAGGCATGAGGAGAAAGAATGGGTTAGAAGAGAGGTTGTATCCTCAGGGTGATCTGCAACTAGCTAAGCAAGAGGATTTGCCAGAATGGGAGGGAAGATTTGCACTTTTATTGTCTTGTTTGCTGCTGGGATATTCCTGGACTGTGCAGTATTTTCACAGCTACAGAAGAGTAGGTGTATAAAAGGGGTTAGTCTAAACACAAGATAGATGGCAAAGACTACCAGAGGAGTTTGACTGATAGCCTAGATGTTTTCAGTAGAACAAATAAGGAGAAAAGGTATCTAAAACTTATTCCATCTCTACCACCCAAAACCTATCCTGTCAGCCTAGAAGTGTTTTCAGTAGAGAGAGTCACAACGGTCTGGGCTGAGGATCACAGTCAAGTTCAACCAGCCTTTCTCAGGGTAGAAATGCTGCTAGCTGACAGTATACAGGAAAGAACAGCTTTCAAAAGGAAGGAGACAGTTCTGTTATGCAGTTTATTCCACTGTTGCTTCTGGTGATCCTATTAATTTCTCATTTTTATGTTTGTTTCTTTTAGGTGAAGAGTGAAGGCCCCAAACTGGTGCCCTTCTTTAAAGCCACTTGTGTCTATTTTGTCCTTTGGCTGCCAACTTCCAGCCCCTCCTGGTTCAGTGCCCTCATCAAATGTCTGCCCATCTTCTGCCTGTGGGTTTTCCTTCTGGCTCATGGAATTAACTTCTTAGTGTCACACCGGAGCGCCAGCCGGATCCTAGCGGGACTCATATTCTCAGCAGTGGGAGACGCCTTTCTCATCTGGCAGGAGCAGGGCTACTTCATTCATGGTGAGTGTGGTGTCAGTCCTAAAGGGGTGCCACATAGTCCAGCTGTTACTCTCTTTATTTAGTAATGAGTTGCTGGGCCACATGTTTTGTTTATGCATGTACAGCTTAAGCCCCAGGCAGTGGGAAGCACTCCTGACTTGACTAAAATCCATCGTGGTTAGAGGAGTCACACGATGGATGAGTCTTTCTTGTCAGCTTCTCTTGAGGTTAGAGAGGTAATTGGGGCACATTTGGTTCCCTGGCACGTGCTCACACACCTCAGCTGGCTGGAGCTGAGAAGGTGGCATGGGTAGAATCCCTGGGGAAGAGAAGGAAATGCTGATGGCACTCAGCAGCTCCCAGGAAGCTACAGGAAGCACCTACCTCCTTTTTCCCTGCAGGGAGATCTGTCCACCCTGTGCTACAAGGATCAGAAATATGACACATGGTGCAAAGGTCCTCAGTGGTAAACAGGTGGAGCAGACCCTTATGTTTTGATAGACAACCCCATAGCCTGGGGGAGGTGTTTAAGTGGATGTTAGAAAACAAAGCATCAGAAATCTTGTCCTGCTTGCAGGTTCATCAGTATGAATCATGCAGCTTGATGTATAAGACATGTCTGTTTTGCAAGACATGTAAATGAAGGGGAATCAAGGACAAACCTTACCATTATGGCCTGTCTTCTCTACAGAAAGATCCACATCTTTCAGAGCAAAACAAGCTTGTTTTATTTTTCTAGTTTGCAGACTGGAACATAATGCTTTAGATTAATCATTTAAAGCTATGTTGAACCTGCCTGCAGCAACACTCTCCCTGGGCTTGTACTGTCACAAGAAATCAGCAGCAGTTGAGTCCTTCACTGAACTGATTGGTGAGATTTCTGAAATTAATTTAACCAGCACAGGGATCTCATGTAACACCCACCATTAACTGGCTGCTGTGACTGTCCCACTGGAAAATGTGACGAGACGAGGGAACTTTCCTGACTTGTGCTGTTGTCAGCTCTGGGAGTCAAAGGCTTATTTTTTCCCCCTCTCATGAGGTCAGTAGTTTTATTCTGGGATTCCCACAGGTTCTTTCGTTATGAGAGGGAAGCGTGTGCAGTGCCAGATATGAAAGGCCAAATGCTTTGAATCTGGTTTTAATCCTGCTTCCCAAGGGCTTATCCCAATCTCATTAAAAGTTCATGCAAAAATTTTTACTGATTTTGGTGAGGTTTAGATTAAGCCTTGAGAATTGGATCTATCCGGCTGAAGGTTGGGCATGCTGCTGAGGAGCTCCAGCTTTCTCTTGGGATGCCATTGGCTCTGTGCTGTGTGTTGGCATTCCCACCGACAGGCCTCCTCCTAACAGAGGTACCCAGCTCAGTGTAGGCCACCTCAGCCCAACCTGCTTCTGCTTCTCTTTTGCCTCCTGGAGTTGCTTCTTGAGCAGTGGCTTGGAAAACGTTCAAGGCCTGATTCTCACCATGACCAGTTTTGTACATGGAGTGTTCTGCGCTTCTCCATTCCCACGTAGCTGGGATAGCTCTGAGTTCCCTCTCCAATTTAGTGCTAGAGGAAGGTCAAGCAGTCACAGCAATTCAGTATCTGGTTAATGTGTTTTAATCTGCAAATAACTTGGTTTTTCCACCCCAGTCTCAAACCTGAGAAGTGTCGCTTTGTGATTTTAGAGACATTTTTCTTCTTAAGGAGAAGAAAAGCTCTCTTGGAGCATTTTGAAAATACCAGCCTTCATCCTGGCTATCTCCTGCCTGCCTCAGTCCATGCTAATCTGAGCTACCATCTTCCATAGTAAAGTGTTAACATTTGTATTTCAGCTCTTAGCAGATAAAGTGCATCACCCCACTTTATCTCACCTCCTCTGCAAAACTTATCTTCTCCTATTTAAAACCCAGCAGGCTGCTGTTGTTGACAAATGAGAATATTCAACGTTTTGACATCATTGTTTGTGGGAAAAAAATTAAAATTTCAGGTGAATAAGAGGAAATACTACATAAAAATGTACTTTCTGTTCAATTTCTACAGCTTTCAGGCTAAAAAAAAGGGTTGGGAACTGGGCTGATTTGAATAGCTTTTGAGACAATGAGTTTATAAAAGGACATTTGTTCATTACTTTATAGGGAAGTGAAAGCCTGGGAAACTACTCCTGGCGCACTTGACTTTTTTTCATTTTTGCTGTTTCAGTCCACTAATAACATACTATTTTCTGACTACCGTCTTACTGCATGTAGAAGATACTTTACAGTGTTCACATTCACCTCCTTTGATAGCAGGCACTTAGAAACAATTTATGCATTGGGAGAAGAAGACAGGGACTAACAAAAAGGACTTACTGCCAGTCTGAGGGGAACCTCCAGGGGCAGGAAGGAAGCAGAGAGGAGAAGGGCTGATCTGCCTGATGTGGTTGGAAGGGCTGAGCCAAAGGCTGAGAAATGAACCCATCTTCCTGTGCAGCTGTCACAGGTTTCCCCAAGTCCTGACTTGATCTGTGGGTGTTGAATGAGCAAACCTGGGAGGTGACTCCCTTGTTTGTGACCGGCCTCACCAGATACCACAACACGCTGCCTGCCTTTCTGGGCTTCTGTCTGGCTGCTGCATCTTGTCTTCCTCACCTCCTCCCATTCATTGCCAGCTGCCTGCATGAAGGACAACACATTCTCCAGTTTCTCATTCCAGAACTCTCCATATAATGCCACTGAAGGAAAAAAACCACTCCTCCAAAGGCAGGGAGACACTTCCCCTTCTTTGAGCTGCTTCAACACAAGAGTATTAGGATGAAGAAATGCCTGCCAGCAGCAGGTTTTAGTGACTGCCCTTTACACCACAGCATTGTGCTTTAAATGTAAACAAATGTTTACTGGAGCACTCGGCTTCCCAGATCCTTTTCTCCATTTCATGCTTTAGAGCTGCATGAAAACTTCCAGCTACTCTAGTAATCCTGCTGGGATAAAGAGGGGGAGCCTGCAGCTGCACCATGTGTGGGTCTGGGAACCAGAGGACTAGAGGAGTTGGACTCAGTTTGGGGCCCATTAGCTACAGCTGGCATGCCAGCTAGCAGCCAGCAGCTGTACCAATACATTGTGGTATGTTTTGTCAAAGAGATTAGTGGCAAGTGAATAATGTATGGGCAGTACCTTCCAACACCCACATCTGGCATTTCTCAGGGGTGTTGCACTTCAAAGGGAAGCCAGCACTTTATTTTCACTGATTGAATCCAGGTAAGATTCATCTGAATCTTGCAAATCGCCATAAAATTGTTGGCAGATTATATAGGTGCAGTCCCTGAAATATGCTAGCTGCTTCTTTCCAGCTTAGGTTTCCTAACTATGGGCAGAGATGGAGTAGAAACCAGATTTAGTCCCTGAGTGCCTTTGGGTTTGTGGCTAAATACAGTCAGGCTTTTTGTCTGGGTTTGGAGGGATTGGTATCTTTTTTCCCATTTTGTTCCTACACTGCTCTGATTCCAGCCTCCCCGTTCCACACATGACCAATGAACAAAACACTTTGGATAGTTAGAGGGGATGATCTTTGGTACCTTGCCCCCACCCTTCCGTCCAAAGCAGGGGAAGAGGAACCACCTGAAAAACAAGCTCTGTTCTCTCTGCAGCAGCTCAGTTCACCCGGCCTCTCAGCACAAAGGCTTGCATCACAACAGTTGTGCTTGGCTGCAGTTGTAGATGCGCTGAGGCTTTTTCTTAGGGCGGGAGCTTGGTGCTAAGGCTAATGTCCTATGCACATATTTTTATATTAAAATGGTTCCAAGTGGTCAGTATGGTTCCCACTGGAAGTGTTAAGGGTTGGAATGCTGCAAGGACATCTAAGCCTGGGCTTGTTGTGGTATATTTAAAAGCCAGTATAGCCACATGTTTTCTTCTGCTACCAACTGTCAGTCACTGATGAAAGGTCACACTTGCTATGTCAATGCCTCTTTCCAGGTCTGCTGATGTTCGCCATCACACACATCCTGTACTCTTCAGCCTTCGGCATGAAGCCTTTGGACCTCAAAGCTGGCTTGTTGATGGGCCTTGTTTCCAGTTCCTGTTATGCCTTCCTGTACTCCTACCTCTCAGGCCCATTCACCTACCTGGTAGCTGTCTACATCGCCTTGATTGGCTTCATGGGCTGGCGAGCAGTTGCTGGCATGCAGCTGTGCAACGACCTCTGGACATGGACCAAGCTCTCGGCCTGCATCGGCGCGATGCTGTTCATGGTTTCGGATCTGACCATCGCGCTTAACAAGTTCTGCTTTCCTGTGCCCTACTCGCGCTTCATCATCATGGCTACTTACTATGCAGCCCAAATGCTTATTGCATTGTCAGCTGTAGAGAGCAGAGATGAAGAGGACTTCAGAAAGAGGAGCTAGGTGGAGTGCCAATAGTCTGTGAACAACGTGGGTTATATCTCAGGTGCTGTAGCTGCGTTCACCCCTGAGAGAGATCTCCATTTCTCTAGGCACATTGGTGATGTTGATTTTGCTTCTTTGAAGCATTACCTTTGGGGCTTTTTTTTCAATGGCTTTCTCTGAATACAGCTTACTTCAGTGTGGAGTCCACATCAGAAAGCTTAGACTGTCCCTGCAGTAGCTACTCATTCAACTTTTCCTCCTTGGAAGTGCTGTACTACTGCATTTTACTTGTTAGTCTTGAAACTGATGCTGAATGTCTGGGAAGAGGAGGGCTGATGGAAGGGAGGTTTGGCCACACACTGTGCTAGAAGACTTGCTTTCAATAGTAGGCAGACAGGTACAGATCTCTGCTGAAGTCATAGGTAAAAATGAATTTAACTGATGTTTGTCTCTTTGTGCATTACACACTCAGTACTCAAATTGGAGCTATTGCCTCTGCTGAAAGGAAGCCTGGAGGTAGAGTAAAAGCAGCATATCCAGATGAGGGCACATCTTTGGAATCAACGACAGCATGTGGGGCAGCTCTGGCAGAACCAGAATGAAAGCAAAACGCCAAGCAGAGAGCACAGGGCAAGAGGTACACTGACATGCAGTGCTGTGTGCCTTGATTGTGGCCGATCACTGCTCCAGGGCAGGTCTGTAGGTGCCTGTCAACATTGTCGCGTATGGCAGAAATGGGAGTTTTGTGGGATTTCAGGGACATCTAGGTAGCCAGGCCAGTGTGTTCTCCTCCATGCATGTGCAGTTACATGGTATCTGTAGCCACCAGTGACAGCTGAGAGGTAATGGGCACATGAGGAACTTTGATTTTTACAGCAGGACTTTGAGCGTACGCCCTAATTGTCCTTAGTATGGCAGACAGGAATCTTTATGCCTTTCTTCCCCAGCACCCTAACAAATAATATTCCATATACTCATTCAGCTTTACAGTACTGCTGCTCGCAGTATCTCTTGAATCTTCGTGTGGGCATTTCCCATGATCAAGGCCCTGATTTTGGATGTAGATTGTTGTTGCGTTTTGCCAGCTGGTGGTAAAGGATCAGCTTTGCACCACTTGTTTTTGGAAAGCCCTGTTTCAGCAGAGCTTCCTGAAAAGCGCCATCCTGCGTGTTCGCAATGCCTGCTGCTTCTGTCTCGAACTCACATGGACACAGAGAGAATGTGAGATACATCAGGGCTGGGAAAGCCTGTTTAATTCTGATCCATATTGGCTTGTCTGCCCATCTGCTGAAGCAAGATTACTTCTGACTTCAGACTGTCTTAAAATACATAGCAAGAGGTGGCTCTGATTTTTAATCCAAGTTCATTTGTGGTCATATATTTTTTTTTCTTTTTATTTAGGATATCTAACAGCAAGCTCTGTTTGAAACTATAATCTTGATTGTGCTTTTTCCTTCTGTCCATCCTAGGGCTGCTCCTCTGGGCTGAGATGCTCCCCCAGTGGGTTGTTTTAAGACACAAGTGCACTCAAGGGTGCAAAGGAAGCTTGGTGAGGGTTTATGCACCTCTTCAAACCTCCAGCCAAACAGGGACAACCAAAACAGACTGCAAGACTCAAATCCATGCATGCACCAACAGCCCCTTGCACAAGTTCAGGTGGGCAGAGCGACAGGTGGGGCAGCCCTCCAGACGAGCCCTGTGGGCTGAAAATCATCATGTTCTCCATACCTAGCATGCCCAGACCATTCCAGGAGAAAGCCTGGCACCAGGTCCCTGGCACCGTCAGCAGAGCAGGAATTCCTCTTTGCGAGGAGTGCAGCAGGGTCAGGGGCAGCTGAGGAAACCCTACCAACCCTGCCAGCTTTTCCCTTCGTGTTGAGTGGCTCTCCTGCTCCTCTCCAGCCCTGCATGGTGGGACTGGGTGTGGAAAAGGCATTGCCTCCCCACGACTTCTGCATTAGTGCAAATGCAGCCAGTATTACAAAAATCTAGGTTAACCATCCTGACCCCATGGAGTCATCTGCTGCTTTTCAGACAGAGATCAGAAAGGTCAGCTGCATTATTGAGGGGGAAAGCATTGTAAATAGCACAGCCCTGTGTAATCTCTTCCTTTAATGCTGTTGTGTAATATTGTCAGTATTCATTCACTGGCTCACCGGGGCCTGTCTGGAGTAAACTGCTAAGGGAATTCTGAGCCATAAAACATCTTCATTCATCAGCATTGCTTATCTACTGGCCGCAGCTTGAACCCTGCAGTGTGGCTCTCTGCGGATGTCACCTGCTGTTACTCAGCTTGACTGTTTGCAAGTCTCTTCCTGCAACAGACTGACCCAGCAAGGAAGAAATCTAAGCATTTGGGGTGAACACCACCATTGGTGGAGAATTCCCAACACGTAAGCCAACAGCACATTTCAATCTGATTTACAGCTCCTTGTCACGGGTCAGTCCAGCATACTCAGTCCTTACCTGGCAGTTCTTCAGAGGAGCCCCATACACCCTGAGCTTGCCTTTGCTTTGAGGAAAATGTATGTGTGATAAAGTAACCTTTATTTAAAAGTTAGCTTTTGATTATCTCTTTCTTCCCCTCTAGAAATGAGTAGTCTTCAGTCTCCTGAAGAGGCTGAGTTGCTTTTCTGTGTGCATTTTCATCTTGGCTTGCTTTGTTATCCTGCTCCACCATTAGCCACTGGATACTTGCAGAAAAAGAACTTTTAAGTGTTATTGGGAGACTCTTTGAGGTGCAGTTCCTGGTGGCAGAGGTCTCTGGGTGGCTCTAGCTGGGACAGCAGGAACATGTGCAGGCCAAGTGGGCTGTTGTGCCTTCACTGTCCTCTCACCTGGCGTGGGCTGGCTGGACACATCCTGGCCTGGCTCTGTCTCAGGGCTGCAACGGCTTCAGCCTTCTGAGGAACATGAGGCAGAAACCTCAGCACACCAAGTCAGGGAGAGTCCTGGCTGACTTAGGGGTTCACCAGCAAAGGCTCTCAGTCTTCAAAATCTGTCTCCTGCTCTGCATTCCTCCTTTTAATCCGTGTTACTTGAATGAGACCATTTTCCTGGAGCCTCTTTCCTGCTGGGAAGAGACCAGCTGCTGTGGACACTGACTTGACACAATTCTGACTTTCATAAACTCTGAGAAACACTAAACAGTTGCTGAAAGTCCGTTAAATACCTTTTCTTCAGATTAAAGCTGTTCCCTCAACCCCAGCAAGGGCAATCTTCACTTTGAAAG